TGACCGTTGATATATGATTGGCCGAATTTAGGTGTTCAGGCTGACGTAGAACTAACTGGCCTATATAACGAAATAAAACACAGATTATAAGACAGGATTTTTTTTTTTATAGAAATTTTCTAACTTTTGGGACAAAATAGTCTGATAAAGATAACATTTATATACATGTTTAAGCCAGAATGATTTGACATTTAAATATGATTTTCATATGACACTAAGGTTGGTTTTTTCTTTCTGAACATAGACAGCTTCCTTCATGCTCCTATCAAATCACCTGTCTTATTTAGTTTTTTTTTATTACTTTTTTGGAATCTTCTTTTAGGAACCTTTGGCTATCCAATTAGGAATCGTTTAATTGAAAAAAATTAAATAAAAATAAACAGATTAATCAATTTGCAGCTTTATAAATGAGTATCTAAAATGGGTTGATGGTCCTTCCCTACTTCAGCATCAGCAGGACATCACTGTCCAGCAGAAACATCAGACAGTTTAAAACTGAACTGTTCAGTGAACCCAGTGATGCTAAAGGAGGATTTCATCATGAACGTTTTATAATTATCCAAGCAAAACCTAATGTAGGGAAACAAAAAGCACAAATCTCTCACCTCCTTCTCCAGCAGCTCGCTGTGAACTAGCCGGGGATTGCTGTAAGCGAAGCAGCCTGTGGAGCTGGTGTCGATGTAGCCGGCCGTCAGGATGGACTTCATGTCGTCGTACTCCCTGGACTCGGTGGAGACGAACTGGAACAGGGCTGAAAAGGAAGGAGGTGTTCAGATGTTAGACGGATTTCTGGTTTCATCCTGAACAGCTGACTGGTCCTGAGAGAAAGAACCTCAAAGATTGGAGCCTCCTTCCATCAGTGAGCGGCTGACTGATAACAAGCTGAAGCTCAGAGAAGCAAACATTTAAAGGGAGAGTTTTCAGCATCAGAGGGGGGGTGTTTAGGAAGCCCCCTTTCCTCTGAGTGGATTTTAGCCAATTCTTCCATCCATCCATCCATCCATCCATCCATCCATCCATCCATCCATCTTCTTCCTCTTATCCGGGGTCGGGTCGTGGGGGTAGCAGATTCAGTAGGGAGGCCCAGACGTCCTTCTCCCCAGCCTCTTGGTCCAGCTCCTCCGGGGGAATCCCAAGGCGCTCCCAGGCCAGCAGATAAACGTCCCTCCAGCGTGTCCTGTCCAGCTGGCTCCTCTCGATGTGGAGGAGCAGCGGCTCTACTCTGAGTCCTTCCCGGATGACTGAGCTCCTCCCCCATCTCTAAGGGAGAGCCCAGACACACTACGGAGAAAACTCATTTCAGCCGCTTGGATCCGTTATCTCGTTCTTTCATCACCATAGATGAGGGTAGGAACGTAGATCGACTGGTAAATGGAGAGCTTTGCTTTTTGCCTCAGCTCTCTCTGAACCTCAGCAGACCGGTACAGCCCACGCTTCACAGCAGACGCCGCACCAATCCGCCTGTCGATCTCCCACTACATCTTCCCCTCATTTGTTAACAAGAACCCAAGATACTTAGACTCCTCCACTAGGGGCAGTACATCCTCCCCAACACCGAGAAGGCTCTCCACCCTTTTCCGGCTAAAGACCATGGTCTCAGATTTGGAGGAAGCAGAGTGTCGCAGTGAGCGTTTCGCAGATATTTTTGATTTCTGCCCAATATTGAAGTGTGCTCTGCGCTATGTTATTCCACGCCACAACGCCAGAGGGCCAATCAGGAACTAGCTGTGGGTCTAGATACGGCCGAGGGGGCGAGGAAGTGGGGGCAAGTTTGTGCAACAATGGAGGGACATGAGGGCCAAAAAGAGCGGGGATCCAGGTGGAAAAAGGGTCCCAGCGTTCTCTCACACCTCGCTCT